AAAAAGAGGAAGACGCTTGAGGAGGTAGATTGACATAGTAGCTGCAACCATGCGCCCAAACACAACAGCTGCCGAGCTGCGGGGTGTGTCCGTCTGTTGCACAGAGGGCTGCTACGAATCTGGACTAACTCTATGGCACCTAACAGCAGCAGCAGCAGCAGCAGCAGCCATATTCCCATCTCCGGCTGCCCGGCACGTGTACTTCGGCCTGCAGCATGCAGCTCCCGTTGTTCAGAGGCTCCTCCATGTTCTACGTTTTTTCTCTCCTCTTTGTCTTCCCTGTCTGTATGTTTATTAAATTCACTAGCTTATTCTACCAGTTGAGATGTTTTATTCTAGCTATTCAACTTTATAACTCCAGAATTCACACTTTTAAAAATAATAATACTAATAACGCCCCTCTAATAATATCAAGGAGCCATGGGGGTGTAGTGGGGACACGCTGGACTGCTAAGAACAAGGGCAGCAGGTGAAACTCCACAGTCACGCTGCAGGAGAAAGATGAGGCTCCCCTGAAAATCACAGCCTTCGACGCCGTCTCAAAGGTCGCTACGCGTGGAAACGGGCTTCATGACTGCGGGTTTTTTTCTGGAATGAGACTCTCTGGTACTCCAGTCTGTTGGCACCCAGCTCTAACAGAGGGTTGGCACTTTGAACCCACCCACCCGTCCACAGGAGAAGACCCAGTGGCCTGCTGCCCGCAGGATTTCAGCCGGCGAAACCTGATGGGGCAGTTCGGTTCTGGCTCGTGTGGGGGCACTCTGACTTGGAGTCAGTTTGACGGCCCCTGAGGACAACACCATGGTCTCTGTTTGGAGTGACACTGGCATTCTCTACCTTTCTTTACTCCCTGTGCGTTCCTTGGCTTCTTTGACTGTGTGTATAACAGCTACCTGGATGTCTTCTCATGCTACCTCTGCTCTCTGTGTTGTCAAGAATGCCCAGAGATGTAAACTGCTCTACAACGTAATCCAATGATTCTGTGGGTTTTATGTGTCGGCATCACCTCAATGTCAGTGAGTTTGTTTGGTGTTGTTTTCATGTTTATGAAGGAATCGTTTCTGAGGCTATTGTGTTCGATTCTTTTTTTTAATCCAGGAAGCCTCCTCGTGGTTATCTTATTCCCCATTCCTGTTCACAAACTGGCTTACAGGCTAAGCTGCATCTTCATTAAATCTACTGGGGAATAGATTACACATATATTCTTGAGAGTGCCATTTAACTTGAACTTAGTCATGCTCAGCTGCAAATGAAGTGAGTTCTGCTGAGAAGAGATTCTGAGCAGTATGATTTTACTCCCTGCTATTCTCCACAGAGGAGCCGTGGTGGCCTAGTCATTGGGTTGTGATCCCAAAGGTCGGCAGTTCAAAACCACCACCCGATCCGTGGAAGAAAGACATGTGTTTCTACTCCCGTGAACAAGGACAGTCTTGGAAACCCCCTGGGGCAATTCTACCCTGTCCTTATAGGGTCGCTGTGAGTCAGCATCCACTCGATGGCAGTGAGTTCTCTCTGCAGGCGGAATCTCTGAGACAGTATTCTAGATCTGAGAGCACGGCAAGCTTCTGGGGGAACAGATGCAGTGGCGCTGGCCCGAGCCCCTCTCAGCTTGCCTTTCCTGGCACAGAACGCTGCCACCATGGGCTGGGGCAAGGAGGGTCTGGGGCCAAAAGACTGGACTTGAGTAAGTCCCACCCAGGACTTACACTCAGCGACTGGTAACTGTTGTCAGGGTGAGAAATGCTGAGGTCTGTCTGTTGCCCCCCATATATTTCCAACACATTTCCTGTGTTTTTGTGTGCTGGCAAGTCCACTCTGACTCACAGTGACCTTTTGGACAGAGATGAAGTGGCCAGTGGGGGCTCCTAATAGTACTCTGGACAGGAGCTGATGCCAGGGCTTTTCTTCCACTGAGCTCCTGGGTGGCTTCAAACTGCTGACCTTTGAGTTTGCAGCTGAGCATTTATCTATTGTGCTCCCAGGACTCTGTCTTCATGTACCTCAAACCCAAACCCACAACCATCGAGTCAATTCCTACTCATAGCAGCCCTGTGCAGGAGTTCCCAGACTTGGAGTCTTTACAGGGACAGACAGCCTCCTCTTTGTCCTGTATAGAGCACCACAGTGACTACAAAGCAGTTCGTGTTGCTTCATATCTCTAACTTCAAAACATAGCGTTTTTCAACTCATTTCATTGTAGTCATACCTTAGTTACTTTTGCTCTGGTTTTTTTTTCAATATGAAAAGATTTTTCCTATGGATACAAGATCCAGAGGCTATTTGATTTATGTTATAGGATATTTATTTATGTAAAAAAGTATCTATTGGCTATAATAAGTTAACTATAAACCTATTTATGTTTTCTTTCCCTAAAGTGACTTTATTTTTGTTATTTCCACCTAAGTCATGAAGAGCCAGAGTAAAAATTAAACAGAGAAGATGAATTCTTTTTTTTTTTTTTTCCTTCCAGATTGTTAAATTAATTAAATTTTCAAAAGAACACCCTATTACGTTAGCAATTGGCGATGGTGCGAATGATGTCAGCATGATCCTGGAAGCCCATGTCGGCATCGGTAAGCCGCGTCTCTTCCTTTAAGATGACCTACTTATCTTGGCAACCAGTTCTATCGATGTACCCAGACAAGAGAGGGCTACAACCACAAGAAAGTGAGCAGGGAGAATGAACATGGAACCAAACAGACACACACACACAGACAATACAGGGCTGCAGCACAAAATAGACACAGACAGACACGGTGCAAACTGCAGCCATGGCAGCCCACCGTGCTGTAGTTTTATGTACTAAATACTGGCAGTGTTCCCAGACAAGTTTGCTATTCCCACACCTGAATTTCTCATAGCCTTGAGAGTGAGTTCCGTATCTCGGTCCATACCGTTTGTTTACATGTCTACCAGGGAAACACTGTTTGTAGCTGCTCCCACAATTTCCTTACCGTTTGCAGTAAGGAAGCAATTTATGAGAAGCAGCTAGGACAGACGTTTGCGTACTGTCCTAGACAGATATATGACACGAGACACAGCACTCCTCTCATGGCTCCTTCAGAAAGGTCATGGAATTCACGCTGGTACATTGAGGGCACCTATATAGTTTGATGCAATCCTGACTGGGACAGCTCATAACAATGGCTTATGCTAACTTTATGTTGCTTGCATAGTGATGAGAGAAGGCTTCTTCAGCTCATTTATGTCTCTCTGGTAGGTGTCATTGGAAAGGAAGGTCGTCAGGCTGCAAGGAACAGTGACTATGCAATACCGAAATTCAAGCACTTAAAGAAGATGCTGCTTGTTCATGGGCATTTTTATTACATTCGGATATCTGAGCTTGTGCAATACTTCTTTTATAAGGTAAGATGGCTTCTCTTGCTCCTGTCACTGTCTCTGGGGTGTGTAACCAGCAGGACAGAATGACACAGTGGTCAGAATGACTTGCCTGCTGTAGGAGTGAACTGACCTCAGAATAGAAGTAACTGTCAGAAAGAAAGGGACAAGCTGTTGCTACCAAAGGGAAACCTAGCCCTTTTCTCACATCAGCAAACTTTCACATGGAACCAGTAAGAAGATAGCAATAGTGAAATGTCTGTGGAAGAGCCATTCTTCTATAATTACTATAAATCAGTTCTCATTCTGGTCCTTTTCCCAATTATGCAATTTAATTCTTTTTTTTTTTCCTATTTAGACTGGCATTTATATTGCCTTCTTATTTCTCTTTAACAAATTATCACTCTACCATGGCTGTTCCCAGAGTGCTAGATACATTTTAGGTGCATTAAAAAGAGAGGGGGGAAATTAAGCACATTACTTACTACTCTGTAAATCATAGAACACATGTGTATTGCCTTCTCCAAATATAGTAGTAGTAACTGACATTTCTTGGGAATTCAAATACAAGTTAAGGATACCTTGGGTAGTGTACCTTTATACTGACAGCCTTGTGATTTGTCTTTCAGAATGTCTGCTTCATTTTCCCTCAGTTTTTATACCAATTCTTCTGTGGATTTTCACAACAGGTCAGTTTCAAGCTCTCCATTTATGTGCCAGGCTTACCTGAGCCTCTTTTACCTCGCACCATGTTGGTCGTTGCGGTCATTACAGAGAGGGCTGCCCGAAACCCCAAGGCAGACTCTTCATGGGAAGATGACAAAGGCTGCCTTCACCTTCCTGCCTCTCTGGAGTACATGTGTTTGCTCCAGCTCACAGACTTAGGGGACAGGAACAGGGTGTGGAGCCAGGAACCATGATGTCGAGGTCCTGCTCAGTCCTCAAGAGTCCGCTGACCCCAGACTCTCTGATGCTGACGTTTCACAGATGCAGTCCAGTCGCGGATTTAACTGAGAGTGATTTTCCTGCCCTCTAGGGGTGGGCAAGACCATGCTGGTCTTTCTGAACGTAACACACAACATGCCGCATGGTGCTGGTGTTAGTTCCAACTCCTAGCACCCTGATGTGCAACAGAATGAACTACTGCCCAGTCCTGCCCGTGTTTCCCATCAGTGCTGCTTGAGCCCACCGTGGCAGCCACTGTGTCGATCCATCTCTTGAGGATTGCTGTTATCCTAATCAAACTCACTGCTGTCAAGTCAATGTTGACTTGTAACTACCCGTTAAGTCGGACTAGAACTGCCCCACAGGGTTTGCCAGCCTGTAAATCTTTCTGAAAACTGGCTGCCACCACTCTCTCCCACAAAGTAGCCTGTGAGTTCAAACCGCCAGCCTTTGGGTTAGCAGCTGGGTGCTGTCACGGCTGTACCACCAGGGCCCCTCCAGGGCCAGTCCACCTGAAATCTGAGATCTTTTCCTTGGCCCTTTGGGTCATCAGTGGAACTTCATATGTTAACATGTGTGAAGTGAAGACAAGGGTGACCTTCAGACAATAATGGAGCAGCTGCTTAGGCAGTTGGTACCAAAGCAAAAATCTCCTTACTGATGGACTTTGGGTGAACTGATTTTATCTGAAGGGACCAGGATTGGGGAAAATTTGAAGTTTGAAGACAGTGATCAAAATTGTATGTCTCAGTTTGCAGAGGCTCAAAGTTGGACCTTATGTCAGTTGTAATTTCAGTGTTGACTAGTGGACATAATGGAGCGTTGGAAAATGTCATTGTTTATCAGGAGAAAGATGATGCGCTATGCATTTTGGAGTGGCCATGCCTGTGGTCCTTTGCAATTTCAAAGGGGAAAAAAAGGTCTTTTAAAATGAAACAGCCAGTGTTTACAAAAATGCAATGGAGCAATGTTTTAGTTTAATTTCTTTTTCTTCTTACAGACTTTATATGATACTGCGTATCTGACACTGTACAATATCAGTTTTACTTCCCTCCCGATTCTCTTGTACAGTCTGATGGAACAGCATGTCAGTATAGATTTGCTCAAGAGAGACCCTTCACTGTACAGGTACGGTGGCTTCAAAGTGGCATTTCTGTAGAACAAAGAATAATTAGGTAGCAATAGCGTACTTCTTTCAAATAAGTGCATAGTTGGCAGCATCTTAAAAATCAGTGTATTAGCTGATACATTTCGTTCTTCAGGAAATTCTTCAAGCAGAAAGCAAGGTAACTTAAATGAATATACTTCAAATTTGATTAAATTTATACTACATTAGAATGTACAGGTTGAACCAGTTCATATCCTAGCATGGTTGCAGATAGTTATGGAAGAGCCCAAGCGTTTCTTTCCCCATTGTGACCTCTGTAAGTTCATAACCTAAATGATCCTTGACAAACAAAGTCTACGGGAGGGTCAAAGAGTTCATGAAAAAATGATCATTTCCCACAAGCTCTTTGAAGCCCAGTATATTGCATTCAGTGAGAGACAAAGATAAAAGTTAACAGATTTTCTATCGGTGTGATCTTTTCTGCAAAAAAAAAAAAAAAAAGGTATTATTCAATAATAGGGAAAACAATGTTTTCTTGCTATTTCAGGATCTCTGGCATCTACAGTGTTTCTCTTTTTTGATTATTTTGTATTGGAATTTTTATTTTCAGGTAGTTTTAGATTCACTTGTGGTTGTAAAAAACATCGCCTTTATTGAATATCCCCCAGTGTAATAACATAATGCATCTTCCAAGAGTGTGGTGCAGTGTCACAGCAAGCAGCAGCACAGTGATACCACCCACTGATCCTGTCCCAGTTGTGTGTGTGTGTGTGTGTGTGTGTGTAGCTCTGTGGACTTTTTCACACAGGGGAGTTTGTGTGTCCCACTCTTGTCAGCTACTGTGGAGTCCATTTCAATTCATAGCAACGCTGTGGGAGAGCAGAGCTGCCCCATACGGGGTTTCTAGGCTTGTATCTTTCTCTCCCAGGTCCACCGCTAACTAAGCAAGACTTGCTCCATTTATCAGAAGTTTTGTTAGGAACCCACTTTGTTGGATTAACTGCCTTCTCCTTGAACTATTGAAGCCCCAAATAAGTGCTGTGGGCACATGAGTACTTAATACCGGAATCAGTGTAAGAACACAAAAGGTTGCAGACTTTGGTAGACCATTACCTAGAGGTATCTCTTAATGAACTATGACAGGATAATCTAGCCCGAGAAGTCCTGTCATGAATTGTGTAGCCAACTTGAGGTCTTCAGTCTAATTTTAGTTAGTAAATGTCGAACATGTACATTCTGTTCTCTGCTAATCACTTTAAGAAGCAGAAATATGATCTATAGCTTCTATTTGCCAAATCTGGTTTTAGAAAAGGAGAGGAGGCCCCTCTGACTTGCTCTGACTTCATAGAGCAGCGGTTCTCCACCTTCCTAATGCTGCAACCCTTTCATACAGTTCCTCATGTGGTGGTGACCCCCCAACCATGAAATTATTTTCATTGCAACTTCATAACTGTAATTTTGCTACTGTTATGAATTGGATGACTCCTGCGAAAGGGTCGTTCGACACCCCCCCCCAAAGGGGTCGCGACCCACAGGTTGAGAACCGCTATCATAGAGGGAAGACGAATCAAACTGATTGGTCTGAGGCCAATATCTGTCAAATATACCTCCACTCTCCAGCCTTCTTTAGCCTACTCTGACCTAACCCTCCCTCTCACAGTACACTCTTCTTCTCTGTTAGGTTCAATAATTCATTGCATTGACCAGACAAACACACGGATCATGCTCATGAGCATGGGGTTTATTGGAGACGTTAACAGGTTACAATTCAAGATCAGAAATACTCAGGGCACAGTTCTTCAGTTAGGACAGTCTCTTCTCAGCAATGCCCACAGGCAGGCATCTCCGTGCTCTTTGATCCTTTAGCCTCTGCCTGCTTGGGCAATGTTACAACAAACACCCTCTGGCGCTGCTGATAGATTCGCAAAGGGCACACCACATTGCCTCAGCCTCACTTAAAGAGTCTCAGTTCTAGCTGTAATTAGGTCAGCAAACCTCCCCTTCCCTCCCTAGTTAAGCTCCCTTACTCTGCAAGCAAACCTCCTACCAGAAGGTGCTAGGGTTTGATTCACTCCATGGACCAAGAAAACCAGCACTCTATCTCACACTCTGGCTCTTGATTCCCCTGCTCCCTCTCTCTGCTGTGACAGTTCTGTGTCCCGGATTCAGAAGGTTCAGGACACAGGATTCTCTAGGCCTAAGAGATATGCTTCATGCCTGATTCTTCTTTCTCGGTGGTAGTGAGATTCCCCCATTCCTGCTTCTGGGGTGGTTCCTTTTATATACAGCAGAATGACAATAATGAACAATCCCCACCGTGGAGTTCTAAGTTTTTGCAATCACAATTAAGCCTCCTCACGATCACTCACAACTGAATCTTCTGATCCTGTCAGCAACTGCCTCCACCTCAATCAAGAAATGTCTGTGTGTAATAAAATGCTAAGTCTTAAAGCATTTTGGTTTTGCTGTCAGGGAGCTCAGACTTAATGTTTATTAGTCATTTATATTTCATTACATATAGGGGCATTTTAAACTATCCTATGTCATCATAGGATATTGGCTTTTTTTTTTAAGTTGTGATTCTCTATTCTCACTATAAGAGCTCTGAACTGTGACTTATACTTAAATACGTATAGTATTGAAGTTGTGTCAAATGGTGCAAGCAAACAGTCGGGACCTGGAAGCATGTGACTTGGTACAGAGGGAATGGTATAGCAGTAGGAATCAACACAGAAATCTTTGTGGAAAGGTAGATAAGGCATGGAACGTGGATGTAGTTTATACAGATAAAAGCCAAGGGAGGCTCTTCTCCAAAGTAGGGAGGAAGACGGAATTAAATATGTTGCCCCCTATCTCCTTATCTCGTAGATTTAGATTGACCTGTGATGTTCCTTTCCTCCTCAGAAGAGCAGAACTGCCTGCTGGCCTATTAGACTCCAGAGGTCATCTGCAAGCGTTTCTAGTGCTTTCCCTCCTGACTAGCTCCACATGTACTTCTACTACCCGGGGAACCCACTCTCCTGTGATTGACAGGCCTTCGCCAAGAAAAGAGAATAGCTATAAAACTATGAAGGTGGTTGTGGTTATAGTGTGTCAATGGAATGGTATTAACTGAGATAGTATTTTAATATAATGAGGATGTAATTTTCTTGTATTTTTCTTTGTTTAGAGATATTGCCAAGAACGCTCTACTCCGCTGGCGAGTGTTCATTTATTGGACATTCTTAGGAGTATTTGATGCTCTGGTATTTTTCTTTGGTGCTTATTTCATGTTTGAAAATACTACAGTAACCAGCAATGGACAGGTTCGTATTTAACTGCATCTTTTTATTTAGTTACTTAGGAATAAGCCGTTCTAATCTTACATGATCACTTGGGCAGTACATTAATTTATTATAGCCTGTAAAGGTTCCTGTTGGGTTTTGGTGTCATAGGAAGATACGTGTGTGTGTGTGATACTTATTGAGTTGCTTTAAAGAACATATACTTAAAAAAAAGAAAGAACACATACTAGCCTTCAATATCAGTAAATGCCATGCCGTAGATAGCCTCCCCCAAATTATATGGAAATATCTTTTGGGGAGGGGGGTCATACTTAATCTTGTAAGTTATCTTTCACTATTAGCAGTTTATCTAGAATTCAGTCAGCTCGTTCCAGCATTCCTTCTAAAGTGGGAACCATTTCCTGTGTAACATATTTTAATAATTTTTGCACATGTGCTTATTGTAATGATCTATTTTCTTTTCAATGAATAGATTTATAGCTTTCTAATAGACATTCAGCTCTCAGGTTGTTTACATAATTTCTAGGGGTTTGTTTTATTTGTATCTTGCTTTTTTTTTTCTTTTTTGCTACTTGCTTCTCTTCCCACCCTCAGATAATGACTACCAACACACACATGGTAAGACAATTGTGGGTTTGTCCTTTCTCTGTGTTTGGAGTGCATTACAGATAAAATATTTCTCGAAAATATTTTCACATGTAACTTCCTCTGTGTGCTTTGTAAGTAGAGCGATTGTTGGATGCTGATGCCTTCCACTCACTTTAGCACTAAAGATGTGGTGGAGAAGGACCACCGTACTAGGTGTGGGACCTGCAGATTTCTGGGTCAGAAATGCCAAGTGAGCCCTTGATTGTTTTTAAAACCACTTGGACATGCTTCAGCTACCCTTTACCTTAAACAAAGAGCAACATAAGTAGAGGTGAGGGCTGTTGGTGACATTGGTTTGAATGTGGCCTGCTGACCCTGCCCAGAGGAATAGCCAGAGAGTGACGAGTCTCGTAGGGTTCCCTCCTTAGGGTCACATGTGTATACCTGGCCCTCAAAGAAACACTGTGGTTTCCAGCAACTCCATTGATGCCATTTCTTATTGAACCTAACACCCCTCGTTCCCCCAGTTTGTTTCTGCATATTGCTTTTCCTGTCAGAGTTTCAGATTGAAGCACAATAACGTTTCTGCCTGCCGTCAATGGAGCTTGTGTGCCCCACTTAATTATTTCTTTTTAATGGCATTATTAAAAGGGGTTATCTCTCATTGCAATTAAAAGCAGATTCACTGCTCCTAAACCGTAAATTTTTCTAACATTTATTCTTTGTCTTGGTTTATTTATTTTAACGGAATTGTTCTTTATTGCCACTAGGCCATAAAATAAGCTAGAGGGAGCTATCTTTCCATTCTTATGTCTCTTTTACCAAGTTTCCTTATGCATCTGGCTGTAAGTAAGCATCCTGTATGTAGCTTAAAACAATAATAACAACAATAAGATTTTAATGTCCTGGGGACTGAACTAGGAGCATCATGGCAGCATGTCAATAGGAAGAATAGATGCCATTTATCTAGTCCTTCATTTTGTAGTTCACGTTCCCAAACCCTGTCTGGTTTAACTGCAGTCACCTTCCAGACTGACCATGAGCGTTAGGTTACAAGTGAGGAACCTGAAAACCAGCCAGCTCTCAATGCATAGTAGGACTGCAAACTCAAGGTCAGGCTATTTGCCCCAAAACTGTATAATGTCAGTTGTAGTCCATGCCTGCTTTTCATTGTTTTAATCACAATGACATAGAATAAGGGATAAATACTCCTCAAGAAAGAATCAACATTAGAAGAGTAATTTAAGAGCAAAAGTCAAAAGGGCACATACATACGAGTCATGGTTTTTAAAGCTCACACTGGGGCGTTGTGCACCTGGGAAGGAGGGCGCTGACTGAATTGGCACCACTTGGTTCCGACAGGGGTCCCTAGGGTGACCCCACCCCAACATGAATCGGAAGCAATATCAAGCCTCTTCCTTTACAAACTCTCCCGGAGGTGGGTGGCTCCGGCTGTAGTCTCACCCATCCGCTCTTCATGCGCTAACGGTCAGGGCTGCAGCGCTGTTTCTGATGCCTTTCCGCAGATGCAAGGATTTCTGTGGATTTGTTCATTGCTCGCTGCCCTTTATAGTCTATTTCCTTGAAGGGACCTTAGGTCACCTTAAGTGACGTTTTCCTAGACCTTTTTTTGTTTGTCCTTTACTACTACCGCATGTCTTTGTTCAGCCGTTAGACAGGACGGTTCATCGGAAATGGAGGTGATGACCGGATAAAGAAACTGACATAAAACATATGCAAGTTCTCTAGTCCCGTGAGACTCAGAAAGCCTGGTTTGATGCCTCGCCACTTGGTGGCTCAGAGTTGATGGTGGCATTTGCGTGACTGGACTTTCTGGCCCATCCTAACAAAATACAAATTCCATGCTCAACACTACATTTTAGTTTAACATATATAACACATGTTAAATGTAAAAACTTTCTAATATATGGTGATAGTATGAATTAGTAGCTAGAGAAGTTGGTACTGAGTCAGGCATTTTTAATGTGGTTATCCAATATTTATGCATTTTTAATGTAGTTATCCAATATTTATGCATTTAAGAGATAGTATTTTCTCTCATTCAGCAAAAGTTTTATAGGAGTTAAAGAAGGTAAAGACTTAGAGCTATAAGAGCAATGTAAATAATTATAGCATTCATATTATAAGTGATAATTCTTTGAAGACACACACGTACAGGGTGGCAACTTTTGTGTGCATATCACTGGTGAGGAAAGGTGCTCAAAGAAGTTGTACATGGCCGCTCATCTGTGAGTGGAAAGGCCGAGACAAAACACAGGTTGTTCTGCCTAAGTTAGGCTACTTATTGAGTTTTGTGGATGTGTTTGTTTTCATTCAGAAGGAAATAAATCTCTCACAGAACTAACAAATGCACGATAGGCTGCCTCTGCAGTAATTCAAGTCTACACCAGCTCAAGGAAATCAGGGGCAATCTCAGCTGGACGGTCCTGTGCTGGGTGCTTGTGGGGCAGTGCACGTCGGCAAATATAAGTGCTCATCCCTTTCTTCAGAACCAGGCTGTGGTAGTTAGGATGGATGTGATAGTTTAGATGTCAGTTCTGTTGATTGCCAGTAGGTGAAGCCTACTTTTAAAAAAAGACCTAGATCGGCCATAGTATGGAGGGTGCCTAGAGAGGAGAGAGATGAATAGACTGACTCATCGTCAACATCGCAAAAAGAAAGTCCCTTCACTGAGCATTTTCTGCACGGGCAGCATAAGCCCTGCTGACCAGAGCAGTCTCTCATTTTGAGGCCACAGAGAATGATCCTAAAACAGGGAGCTTGGTGTTGGTGCTGAACGGGGGCGTGCTCCTGGAGAATACTCCACGTCGGGACGGCCTCACAGGAGGAGCCAGGGAGCCTGCAGAGCACGGGGAGACCCGAGCGCCTGGCAGTGTAGTGAAGAACAAAGGCGCCGGTGCAGACACGGGGAGACTGCGTAGATGTTTTTAAGAGCGTGGTCTTCAAAAAAGCTCTTCTGTTTTTATCGTGCGGTTGTTTTCCACCTGAAAATTCAATGAGTCTAAGTTAGAGAACTTTTATGAGCAAAAGCTTCATACAAAAACACTCATCCCCCGCACCTTAAAGATGTGAGGAAAAGAGAATAAACATAGACCAGGAAAAGGGTGGGGATGGACTCCAGAGACAAATACATGAAGATATGAATTGATGATTTGAATGAGATGATAAAATGAATTAAATGATCGATGTACTGGATCCTAAAGAAATCAGAAATAGGAGCTTCATCATGGGCCAAGGACAGCTGTCTCTTGGCTTGAAAGGTGTACGGAGTGGGTGGGGGAGGGACCAAAGTTGCATTTGGCTAAGAACCACTGATGTGGCCAATCTGCATCCAATTTGTTGGCCTGATATTTCCAAACTAAGAAGAATAAACGTCATCACAGTGAGGTGAGGAATGAAATGAATGACGCATGATGATTGGGGTCCTTAAGGATTTAGTCTGTATCGCTACTGTAAAAGAAGGAATCGAGAAAAATGGTTCTCACGCCAAAAGCTGCAGACTGTGATGGTTACGGAGAAGCCCGGGGCAAGGGAAGGTGGAAGGATATAAATCAAGGGAATTTATTTTTAAAAAGATATATAGTAACACAGATACAAGGAAAGCAGGTAGTCACATAGATAGTAGCCATTAGTTGAATTCAAGAACATAAATAATAACATAGGGAGGGGAAAAAGAGAAGTTAATAATGACCACAAAAAGCCTTACTGTTTTCCTGAGGAATGATTTGACTTAATTATGAGGCAATCACGAACATTCTGAGAGGAAGAGTTCTCCGCAGAATCCAGTAAGCCAGAACAGGTTCTTACACACTGTAGAATCTTCTCCAAGAAAAGTGTTTTTTTTTTGGAGAATAAGATTTGCGATAGGCTAGTTTTTCCGAAAAGAAAGAGGCCTCGGCTGTCGGTGCTGGTTTGTTTTGCACTTGTCTTTTATCCGAAGTCGAGAATGTGGTGATGCTCTCGTGGATTGAGTCACGTGGACGCTTCTGCCATCACCGTGGCCCCTATTTCGTCCCGCCCCCGTCCTGCAGTGGGACAGCTGGAGCTCAGGAAGCCCGCCTGACCTCTCCCTCCTCCTGCCTTGTCTCCTCTGCTGCCCCATGCAGGTGTTGTCCTCAGCTGAAGTGTTGATGTGTCCGTAGTTCTGGCCGCTGGTTGCTTGTGGGTTTTTGTCTTGTCTGTCTTCCCTTCTCAGTGTCTCCCCTGCCCTATGGTTTTCCCGAGGAAAATCGTATCCTTACAGCATCACTGTGATGCTGCCCTTACGGAGCCTGTATTTAGCATGTTTACTTTTTCAAGTTGTTTACCAGCAAAATACCCTACCAGTTGAGCAGCTGCAGACATTGAGTCAGGTTTGGAGTGGAATAGCCAACACACTATTGGTTTGATATAGTCTTGAGATGCGCTAAAGAAGGTCTAGCTAGCTAGGTAACCAGAGAATTGTCTCCTCTGTAGAGCTTGAAACGGTTGGGGTGGGGGTCGGGGTAAGGGGATCTCCGAGTTTGCATTGTACAGATTTAAATATCATCTGTTAATGTTGGGGGTGGAAGAGGTGGTTCTCTGAGGTGCTAGTATTAATATTTGCTACAGAAAGTTTAGAGTAAGGAGAGGGGCTGCAGGTGGCGCTCGGGGTTCTTGCTGTGCATCGGGGTGTGTGGGGGGAGACTTGTCATCTATCATATTAGTAATAACAAAATGTGTTCCAGCTTCAGAATTTGAAGCGTTGGCACTCAGAACAATGAGGTGTTTCCTCTGAAACTCTTGTTTTGAGTGTCAAAGAGGGGAAGCGCATATGAAGCAGATTGCTTGGACTGTTTTTCCCTGAACAGATCTTTGGAAACTGGACCTTCGGAACGCTGGTGTTCACGGTGATGGTCTTCACAGTCACCCTCAAGGTAACGGATTTCCTGTGAACATTGGGCCACTGGGGATCCCTACTCCGTGCAGGTCTCCTTGTCTCGAGGCCAGAAGAGCTCCTTGTGCCTCCCTTGGACAGACTCTTCCTGGGACTCAGAGGCATGAAGTGCAGTGTCACAGCAAAGCTGGGCACTCTGTCCAATACGTCTACTCCCAGAATTATACAAGAGAAATTGAGGAGTGGAGATATATATATATATAAAGATTCCAATTAGAATTATTTGAAAAGGCCAGCAACCCATCCTGAATTTAATTATGAAAGCCCCAGAGACCTGCCCATTGAGTCTTAAAAGTAATGCAGAAACACCCCCAAAGAAATTTTCCTAGGGAGCGATGGGAACATGACACCAGGACCGTTGTCCCTGGGTCCCCCAGTGGCAGAACCTGCTTCTCCCTAGAACTGGGGAGAGTTCAGTGGGGATGTCGGCACACCTTTGGCTGTCTCCGTTGGAATTAAGATGTGGCTTCGTTTGCTTTGCCTACAAAGTTTTGCGTAGACATTTTGTATAAAATGAAGGCAGGTTGTGTGTGTGTGTGTGTGTGTGTGTGGCTTTGTTGTTGCTTCCCCATTTCCTGGCTTCCTCTTCCAGATTGTCTGACTCTCTTTCCTACTTGTCAAGGCTTCTGCTGACACACTGCCGTAATACCATGCCATCAGTAATCACCTTTTGTTTTCTTTTAGCTTGCATTAGATACACACTACTGGACTTGGATAAACCACTTCGTCATCTGGGGTTCACTGCTATTCTACATTGCCTTTTCCCTGCTCTGGGGAGGAATTATCTGGTATGAATTTTTCAGTATAATGTATGCATTATGAATATGCTAGTAATGTAATATCTTCCGTCAAGTACTCAAACAGCAGTTTTTGTACAAGTCACCTCATTCGTTGGTACAAGTATTTGTTGACTACATTCTGTCAGGTCCTAGGCATGAGGGGTGGGGGAGGGGGCATTCTCAATGGAAGAACGAGATGCCAAATTATGACGTGCGACTTGTGATGAGTTATACTACTTCAGATCGAAAGCTAGGAGATGGCATTCTAAATGATTATGTAAACAGAAGACGAAGAACTTCATCATCATCATACAAAACACAACAACGAAAGTTGCCCTTGAGTCGGTTCTGACTCATGGTGACCCCGTGTGACACAAGAAGAACTACCCCGTTGGGTCCTCGAGGATGAGACCTTTCTAGAACAAGTTTCTAAGCCTTGCCACCAAGATGACTCTGGATGGGTTTGAACCATCAGCCTTTTTCATAGTTGAGCACTCACTGTTTGTACCACCTAAAAAGTCCATTATGATCATCGCTACCACTTATTAACTCCTGACTAGAGTGGGGCACAGGGACTCCTGGTGGCACTGTGAGCCAAGATCAGCAGTCCACACCCACCAACTGCTCCCATAAAGACCTATAGTGTCAAACCCTAGATAGGGTGGCCAGGAGCCAGAGTAACAGTGGGTTCAGTGTGGTTTGGGTTAGAATGGCTTGAGAACTTGATGTGTTGTATCTCATTTACTATTCACCACAACCGTATTCTTCATGTACTACAGACGGTCAAACTAAAGCCATACAGTTGCCAAGTCAGTCAAGCTGGAATTTTGAGTCTAGGCAGCCTGGCTCCAGAGCCCCAACTCTTAAGGAAGAGGCTCTGTTTCAGCCATGAGACTGCCAACTGTAGCGGCTCTAAGGCAGGTGGCTTGAACAATGTCCAATATACGTGGAGAATGGCGAGCCTGGGGGAATGTGGCATGAGATCAAACTGGAGAATTAAGTAGGGCCAAGTCACACTGAACCTTTTGACTAGGTAAGGCGTTTGACTTTGTCTGAGTAGAGTGGGAAGTTGTTGAAGGGTTTTAAACAGCAGAGTGCTAGAATCAGATTGAATTGCTCAAATGATCATGGTGGCTGCTGTGTTGAAATGGAATCGCTGAGTTCAAAAGCAGATCAGAAAGGCCAGCAGGAAGAAGCTTGTAATGAGCCAGCCAAGAGGTGCTGGTGGTGTGGTCAGTCCTCAGGAGGGAGAGGAGTGGCTGGGCTTGGGCCTGGCATCTGTGTGGGTAATAGGACAAGGATTCCTTTGCCCAGTCTTTGCTCAGCCCATTGTCCCTACCAGTGAGCTGACCTACAAGACTCCAGTGCTTCCACCCCTGTGATGTTTGCTTCAGACTGTCAGGGTGGTGCCCTGCCACCTCATCCCCGACACATTCGTTCATGCTTCTATTACACCTCTTACTGTTTTCCTAAAAAACCCCTGTTTCCCTTTCTGCCTTCCCTTCAGACAGGATTTTAAGCAGGGCTGGAACTAAGTGACATAAGCTAGGTGCCTGAAACCTGAGTATCTCCTTCAGATGCATGTGTGTACAATGATCTGGCCTGATCTTAAGACCAAAAGCAATATTCTCTCTATCTTATATTTCTAACACGGAGCACAGAACCTGGCCTGTAGTAGACAGCATCAGAAAAAGAAAAAAAATAGACACAAATGTTCTTTAATTATTGCCCCTCGAATGGGTGTTGCTGGTAGCCATTCCAATTATCTCGTTCAATTGGTGACCCCTAGTGGTCAACTAGATGTATTACCTGATCCTTTTCTAATTCAAACTGCCATGGCGTGAGTCAATGCTGACTCATAGTGATCCACTGTGGGTTTCCAAGATTGTAACTGTTTACAAGAGTAGCAGCCCATAGATCTCCCCAGAGCTACTGGTGGTTTTGAACTGCTGACCATGTGGGTCCCAGCTCAACTCATAACCATTACACCACCAGGGCTCTAGAAATAATAGAAAACTAGAAGGGCTATGGTGGTATACTAGTTACGCATTGGGCTGCAGTCCTCGTAGTCAGCAGTTCAAAACCCCCGGCAGTTCTGGGGAAGAAATACTAGGTTTTCTACTCCTGCAAACAGTTACAGTTTCAGAAACCCACAGGGAGACTCGCTGGCAGTGAGTTTGGTTTGAGAAGAGCTTCGGGTGTGGTTCTAGCAAGCCTGTCCCAAACTCCAGAAACTTGCTGCCCTAAGGAACTTCCCTGCCCCACGGCTAGGAAAGGAGACGAGTTCATCAGGAAAACTTGGATAACTAGGCCTAAGGGTTTTTAGGCATACAATGACTCCAAAATCCTCAATAAAGGGTCCAAATGACATTTCTTCTGCAGTTGGGGGGAGGGGGGCTTTGTCTTTCCTAGAATTGGGGCATTAGAACTGACGAAGGTGCAGTAGAGCCCCCGACCCCCATCCCTATCTCAGCCTGCCTCAATAAAGACTAACGTGATGTAGCATCTCACCATGCGCACAGACCAGGAACCGGTTGCATCTCTGCACCTCCGTGATGAAGCACAGCTTCCTGTCTGCAGGAATCCTTATAGCTGTCACCTCTCCCGGGAAACAGCTCCCTGGGTTTCCAGTCCTCTTGATGCTCTGCGGATACTTGGGCATAGCTTTGTCATTGAATTCTCCATGCTGGACTAATACATGTTCCTTGGAACTATTAATAAGTGACCAAAGTTAAATGGAAAAGTATATGAAAGAGAATTCTATCCCTCATGTTCATCACTGTAGCATGATTGCGTGTATTTTTTTCCACCTTCTATCGTGGAGCTCGATCTGGACATTTTCTCTGAATTTTAAATTTGCCTGGTAGGTAAATATTTCATGGGCTGTATTTTTATTTGAAAATTCTTCAATATGTTTATGATCCAAGCTTTAAGTGGGTCGTTTTGCTGTTCTAATCAAAGCTCTTAAGCATCGTTTCCATGTTAATAACCACTGAGCACGTTGGGAGCTTTAGGAGACATTGATGGTATTCTTCAAACTGAGTTCAAGGACTTCCACAATTTCTCCTTGGAAGGACTTCACAGACTTCTCCCCTCTTCCCCATCTTTTGAATGTAATGGGACAAAAGCAGGCAGGTTAAATGACTTGTCCAGGGCTGCCAAAGAAACGAGCGTCAATCACAAAAGCCAGCATCACCAGAGCCGGTGCCATCACCATGCAAACGGCGAATACAGGAAGCCAGTCTTGAGTGCTTCTCCCGCTGACTCCTAATTTCTGATTCCCTCTCTGCTTCTGAACTACCCCAGGCCGTTCCTCAGCTACCAAAGGATGTACTACGTGTTTATCCAGATGTTGTCTAGCGGCCCCGCATGGCTGAGCATCATCCTGCTGATCACTGTGAGCCTCCTTCCTGATGTTCTCAAAAAAGTCTTATGTCGGCAGCTGTGGCCCACCGCAACAGAGAGAATACAGGTATGGCGCTCCCCCCCGCCAGGGCAGGGAACCATTGCATGCGTTCATTTCCTAGCTTTAAGATGGAAAAGGAATCGTTGTGGAAATACAGTAGAGAAGGTCTGGGTTTTGTAAAAGAAAAAAAGTGATCCGTTCAAGTATTCCTAATGAATTGCATAAGGAGAAGCTCTTTCAGTGCTAATTTAGTAAACTTCAAGATGACCAACGTTTAATTTCATATTCAAACCTAAACAGTTGGTCAGTGGAAATAAAGAATAAGAAAACTTAAGCTAGTGCAAAAAAGTTAATACTTTGTGTAGATACCAGATTTTAATAATGAAGCATTACTTTAAAGGTTAAATCCCTTGATTTTTAAGGGTGGTAAATTTTGCTCAAAATATTAGCAATTTTAATAAGCAGTATTGGTTATCGATAGGGCTGCTTCTTTTCCACTCTCTCAGAACACTGGCCAGTGAACTGGATTCTGGTTTCAGAAAAGTAAGGATATGTGGGACATGCCTCCGCTGGTATCAACCCCAAACCAAACTCACTACCGTCGAGTTGATGCCGACTCACCGTGACCCTGTAGCACAGGGCAGAACGCCCCTGTGAGTTTCCAAGACTGTAATTCTTTATGGGAATAAAAAGCCTCATTTTTCTCCTTTGGAGCGGCTGGTGGTTTCAAAGTACTGACCTAGCAGTTAGCAGCCCAAGTGGGAACCAATACACCATCAGGGGTACCCTGGTGTAGGGCCCCCAAACAGTGCATGCCCAAAGTTTCGTGCAGTTATTTTGCATATAACCTGTGTTTGGGAGAAGGTGCACGCCCTTTCATCTGCACCTGCCCTTGGCAACATTTTCTCTTTGCCACGAGCAGCACAGCTCTGCCGTCATGATTCTGTGGGAGTTCAGGAAAAGCCTCTTTTTCTCCTGACTCTTGCCTCTGGTGGGTGGGAATGGGAATCCCTCAGCAGGCCTTAGCCAGAGTGAACGTTCTCCCTCTCGGGCCTCTGCCCTCCTGATGTTCCACCCAGATGGTAGGTTTTCCTCGTGCTGTGGTCTGGGACCACCTGTGCTGCCAGCAGCTGGAGAGTTGACCAAAACCCAGGTGCTGAAGCTCCATCCCCAGAAACTTTCATTCATTCATTGGAGGTGCGACTCTGGCATCAGACCTTCCAGCAAGTTGCTTTTTACTCCCCCCAAAGCCCCAAATCTCAGCAAAGAGGAAGAACGGGCCCCGGTGGAAGGGGGAAGCCACCGCAAGAGCTGCTCCTGCGAGTGAGGCCCCTCCCTGCTAGAACACAGCGTGGCCACCCGAGGAACCGGAGAGGGAGGGGTCAGACACTGGGCTGTAACAAAGGGCTCGGGCAGGGGTCTGTCTGTGTGCCTAAGATCACTGTGGGTCAGAACCAGCTCGATGGTACCTGACAAGAACAAAAGGAAGTCTAATCCAGAAGCGACAAACACCAGCCGCTTGATTAGGCATTTGGTATATTTTAGGATCAATATTTATATTTATTCACCTGGGGGGGGGGGCACCTCTGATGATATTTTATTAGTGGCGCAGATTCCAAATGTCATTGGCCGTTGTTTGAAGTGGAAAACAGGTGGCCCTGGGTTGGGAGAGCAGATGTCTGTTCCCTACCTACCGCTGCCCCCAGCCGTTTGTGAGACTTAGCGCTTCTGTCCTAGAGGACAAGGCGAGGGTTGCCCTCCCTCCTGCCCCTGCCTGCACTCATCCGTGCTCCGCACTGGGACAGGCCAGTGTGCTCCCTGTGTAGGCGTGCCTGCTCAGCTGCCGTGAGACAGCAAAGCTGGCAGCAATCAGTCCCTCCGAAGGTGCGCTCTGCGGGCCACCGATGCTCAGGGATGTCCAGCAGAGCCCGGGGCAAGTCAGTGTCATCTTGCCCCAGGACTTCCTAGAGCCTTCGCCACACAAACGTGCATGCAGTTGACCAAAGGGTGTCTACTGAATCCTGTGCCTCTCAAACGCATTGGCCCCCAGACCCCCTTTTTACACAGCCACCACCTACTTTTGGTGTGATGGCTACAATGGACCCTTATGTTCCATGAGCATCCAGAGGAACCATTATTAAAAAGGAAACACAATCCAGAACCCAAAAGGGATAATGCTGGGAACCTGAGAGTCGGCGGCACCATTGTCAGGAGACAAACAAACCATGTCGCTGATCCTGACAGTGCCGATGCCGACTTGCTAGTGTAATCATCGTTAACGTGCAAGCGAAATGGTTTGCTTTTAACCAGACTCACCACCTGTGTTGTTTCTCTTTCCCCTTGCCTCGTTTCCCTTTGTCTTCCGGCCTGCTTTGCCTAAATAACCACTGCCTTGTGTGTGCGCCACTGATGTGCATGGCCCCTCCTGACTCCTGGGACTAGCAGACTAGACATCAGTGCCTTTCTGTCGAGCAGTCCACCATCTTTATGCTTTCTCAGACTTCCAGCAATCTGAGTTTCTGATGGAACACAAGGTGACGCTTTTCTGCCTTTTTCCAATGTTGGGGATGGTAGCTGCAGGCCCACAGAGGGTTTGCTGCGCTTGTCGAGAGAAAGCTAGTGTGAGAGCGTATCCTGAGCCGCAGGATGAAGAGGGGCTGGGTTTCCTATCCATAGCTGTTAAGCAGTGTTTCTCTCTCAGCATCCATTAGAAGTATCAGAGTTCACCTGCACCACCCCATGAGGGTCAGGCACAGCTTGATCGCGGGCACAGTTAATGGCTTTACCCTGCATCAGGGTAAACTCTCACTTCGAATTTAACTCAGCTGCATGCACATGAAGGTTTAGGGGGTGCAGTGTCCAAGTCCGCTGCTTGCCACGGCATAAAAGTTACATCAGCAGCCCCCTCTCCCCACAGCCTTTAGAGAATGAATGAGTCACCCTCCATTTCTACAGGCCGCAAGAGTCCATTCAGCACCCTGAGTGCTGGGAGCTCACATAATCCTCACGTCACCCTGATCTCCATCCTCACTCTGCAGACCAGGCAACTGAGGACCAACTCCGTCCCGAGATTTGCTCAGGCCCCCACCGAATGGGAGCAGAGAAGCCAAGATTCAAGCCAAACCCCACTGCCTCTAGCTAGAGAGGACCCTCTCCCCGCCCCGCCCCTCAAAAGTTTCATATTAAATATGATTATTGTACCAGATTCCTGGTTAACTTTTTTAAAAATCACTTTTTGGGTTTTGGGGGAGGGATTTGCAAAAAAGCTTTCAAATTTGCCGTAAATGTCTACAGCAGCCTCTTCAACAAGAACATGGCCCATTTATATAGCATTTTCTGTGGTAACCCTTGTTACCTTCTTACCTCTTAATCCTCAAGGCCTTGTCTTCGGCCAGAGCTGAGATTTTACAAGAACAATTCGTCTGTCTAGAAAAAGCCATTGTCTAGAAACCATTTTTTGTTTCTATAGGTGTTTGTTCATCTCCCTAATTTCCATAATTCCGAATGCCTCCAAAGTGATGATACTTTGAATTGCAAATTTGGTATTAGCCTTTTACCAATGAAGGCTTGTTGAATAGAAACGGGCCTAAACCAGATATGCTCATTCTTATTTTAACAAGTTTATCTTCTGTACATTTTAAACATTTTTTAAAAACTAACCAGGTATTTCATTTTGTAAATTCACATAAATTAGTGGCAATCAAAAATGTTCCAATCTGATGCCATCAGAATTGGTTAGAATAAATTACCCCATTTCATCTCACTGTTTATGTACTTGAAAGCATTTAGTATGAAATTATTAGGAACACTTTAACAAGTCACAGGAGGTCCTTATGAAATTGACTTAATCATGCCAACTGGTCTAAAAATAAGTATTCCAACTATTGACACAGTTTATTAAGAGTTGATTTGCTTCTGAGCATTTGCAGAAGACAGACGCTCACTGCTTAGAGGAGGTCTCCCCGGAGCTCCCAAGGGGCCGGGGCCTCTGGGTGCCCCCACCTGTAGGTGTGGCCACAGTTGGACTCAGAGAGCCGGTGGGCCGCCGCAGTGGAGACAAGCTCTGTGCCCTTGCAAACCCCACAGCTCGCTGCAAAAACTTCGGAGGAATAAGCATCTGGCCGGTTCTTATGTGGAATACGTTATACTTCAAATGGATGGTCTTTCTACTTTCTTTTTTCCTATTAAAAAGAAAAACACCACACACACCATGTGTCTTTTAAATTATATGCGTACATATGTGGGGTTTTTGTGTGTGCGTGTGTGTGTGTGTACATGTGGGCTTCAAAAGGTTTGGAAATGTTCCACATTTCCTCCCCATCTGCACACTGACATACTTGTGTACGTGTGTGTCTGTCCCCCTCCAAGGATGGAAATACTCCAGTATTTGGTTAGCTCCTCCATCTCTCCAAGAGTTCTTTTTTTTTTTTTTGCCAATGCAAACTCTACTGATTTTGCAGTTCTTCGACTCTTAAAATTCCTCTTTTCCTTCTGAATGAGAAACGAAGAAGGCTTACCCAGACAGTCTTAGTCTTCAGATGTCCAGCCATTAGTATCTGCAAGCATTTTGAGCACCATTACTTTAAATCGTCAGGGGCCTACAGCTCTTGCCAGGATTCTTCTGTTTGCTTCCTCTTCTCTGGAAAGTTTGGCTCCTCTGTGCAGCAGAGCGTAGCATTTCTTCTGTGTAGAAGAAGAAATGCCTTGTGGCTCCTGTGGCGGGATTCTTCGCTGTATGGTTCTGGAAGTGCTGCTGTGCGCGGCCAGAGCCTCAGAACCTCTGCTTCTGCTGCCCTGAGGGCAGGAGCCGGGTCTGACAGACCCCACGCCCTGGTGCTTGGAGGGTGCCCGCTCTGCAGAGCCAGCTGCTGCGGGGGCCTATTCTGCAAGCCCCCTCTTTCACTGTCGCTCCTCTCGTGATGTGATGTCCATGTGGATAACACTTTCAGGAACGACCATCTTTTCTAGTTCTTCATAAAGTGCTTGTGTGCCCTTGAACAGGGCATCTTGCCGGAACTCATTCAGCTTGTAGTAAGATCTTTATGCCTGGCTCAGCCTCCCCAGAGTCACTTGTTCAACACCCAGTAAACAAAGACGGTGTCCTTTCCCTGATCCGGGAGGCCTGAGGGGCAGCCCCGACTCGAAGGGGGTTTCCCGAGAGACCCTGGTTATGGTACCCCAAGCACTAGTGGCCACTGGCCCCGGACAGTGTTGGGCATCAGTGTGATGGAGAGTTGCACGACTGCAGTGCCTGGGTTGTGCGCCCCACCTTGAGACGTCCGGCACGCTCGCGCTGTGTGCGTCCCCATCTCAGTGTTTTTCCTCATCCTTGCAGAAGAGTCTGAAACGTAAAGCATCTGTAAAGGCAGTGCCGCCACGCGCCGACGGGCCACTTCTTGAAGGACCGCTTACGGCTATCGAAGCATAATTAGCCCGATGATAGGTAACAGTATTGCAGGGAGGTGGCTGATTGGGAAGTCACTTCCTTGGTGTGCGGTGATTCTTTGAAACTGTCCATGTTTCCTCCAAAGTTTTTGCTGTGCTGTGCCATTTTGGGGGTAACCAAGGGTCATGATGAGAGAGAATGCACACACCACACACACACACACACACACACACACACACACACACACGCTATCCCAGGTAAGTGACATGCCTGAGAGTGACTTAACCGCATATGGGTGAGTATTGGACACGCGCCCATGTGTGAACACTGCACAGTACCCTTCGCATACAGCAGCTGCCGTGGCTGCGCTGATCAGCATGCGTGTATGTCACGTCAGTTCAGTTGTGCCGTGCTGCTCCCTAATCCGTGGGGGTGGCAATGGTGTCCTTTAAAACATCTACCGGCCAAAAGAAGGTCTCAAAACCAAAAATGGGCTTTGCATGGTTTGCAATGGATATTAACCCAGTTAACGGTTTGGTATGGGTCCATGGGCAGTAGCTGAAAAGGACATCACTTACGCCGTGTGTCTGAAGAACTACGGAGACTGTAAATATAACCCTGTTCACGAAGCATTTTCTGGTCTAGACTTCTACGAATTTTAACACACACACTCATCACCTAACCTCTTTGCCTAGAAATACTCATACTTGGGATTCATTATCTCATTAAAAGAGATCTGCATTATACAACTTCCCATTATCACCGCCTCCCCACCCCCGCCTGTTTAAATCCAGTAATGCTTCTGACATGCTGCCGGCCTTGTTGGGCTATTAATATTAAATGGCACATACCCAATGTATCTGCGGCCTATCCCAAAGCAGCCGTGGGCTGAAGATACAGGAGACGGGCTCAGTCAGTCGGCTGTCTGCCCCAGGCCGGGGGGAAGATACACTGATGCCGGTGAGTCCTTGCCTTCTGTCTTGCTGGTGGTGGTGTGGCGATTTGATGGTGTCGGAATGAACATTTGCTGAAGTTTCAGGGCTTCTGAGCTTCACTGATTGATTATGAGAGTTAAACGGGGGGAAACTGGGTATGTTTCTAAACTATAGTCTTTTATCGCCCTGGAATGATGGGTCACTCTTGGTCCCTGAAAGTGGGAGATATTTGTACCTAGGAGATTAGTAATAGATACTTTACCTTTGTAGAGATGATATTTGAAATGAAATGAACACCATCGGCCTTGTTATTTGTAATGAAAATCAATAACATGATAGTTAGCACAGCCTGGTGGTTTCTCCCAGGAGTCATGATATTATTTGCCCTCATGCTGTAGTGGCTTGACTCGGTGGTAGAGAGGATTCTCGTGGCAGGTAACAATGATCATTCCAGGAACTAACTGTGGTTTCTGTTTGTTTTCATTCTCTCAACAGAATACATCCAGGCAGTGTCAGGACTGTGTTTCCGAATTCACCCCTATTGCCTCTCTACAGATCCCACGCTATCAGAGCAATGAACTCACTCACCCCTCGGCCACCAGGTCTAGTTCACACTCTGAAAAAGTGATGGTAACCTTCTGGAATGGCAGGGAGCCTCTGGTGCTCCCACCCATGATTGATCTTTCAAATAACTGTTGCAATTCCAGTTCAAGACATGATGGCCGTGAGTCCAGTCTGGAAACACCTGTCTGATAGACAGATCACCAATTCAAGCCTTTAAGAACTGCATTCTTGAGTGTGTGTGTGTGTGTTGTGTATGGGTATGCCTTTTCCTTTGTTTCCAAAGGAGGAGAACCGTGTGAGAGAACTTGTTGAAGAGGCAGTGAGCTCCGACACCCTGGACTGAGCACTTTACGTATATTTCTCCCAGGTCGTGCGGCGTCTCGTGTTTGCACGCTTGGTTGGACTCCTAAAGGAGGCACAGGCTGGTACTGGCAGACTGGTAGCAGCAGGAGTTCTCCGGGCCCGTGTCTTTCCCTCTCTGTCACCTGCTGTCCTTGGGCTTACTTGAAGAGGATAGCTCATTCACTGGTCTCCTTGTGAGATCAGCACTTCAACTTTGAGCCAGAGCTGTCATCTCGCGACTCCCCAGCGACTGTCGTTCTCAGCCTGTCCGACCGCCATCCACGGTCTTTTCTTCATGTCGCTCCCCTGTGCTCTCTGGACAGCAGGTGGATGCTTTCTCTGCACTCCTTTTTCTCAAGAAACTCCCGAATGCTTCTGTGTGGGGAAGCGGCCAAATTGGATGTTCACATAATTGCGTATCTATTTTCCCATTGGAATCCTACACCCTGCGTTTGCTTGAGCTCTTCTACACGGCGAAGCTGATTCTGCCCAGGACTGTCTGTGAATCTGAGGGGCACGGTGGGTTAGGCAGTGATTGGGCTGCTTCGGGGAAGGAAGGAAGAAGAGGCTCTGTGCTCCATCAAGATTCACAGCCCTAGAAACCCTATGTGGTCCCTGTGGGTCAGGATCGACTTGATGGGTTGGGTTTTATTTGGATCAAAGTTTGTTTTGATGGTGTGAGATGTGAACCTGCTAGGTTGTGGACTGTTTCTGACAGTCCCTTTTTTCCCATCGCCTATTTGTGTCTGTGGAGGACAATAAAATAGAACCCCCTGCATTCATGTGTGCGGTTGTAGATAAGGTTGTCAACATAAGCTTTTCCAACAGAAGTTCTGAGATATTTCTCAGTCACACTCCAAAGGACAAAGGTTACTTATTGACTCTGCTAGGAAATTTTGTTCTTTCCTGGGCTTTAGAGAAAGGTGCCTTGGTCTGGGGCGCCCTGTGATCCTTGTGAGGAGCCCTGGTGGCGTAGTGGGTACACATCTGGCTGCTCACCGGAAGGGGGGGTGTAGTTTGAGCCACCCGCAGCTCCGAGAGAGAAAGCTACAGCGGTAGGCTTCAGTAGTGTCTGTGTCCTTGGGAACTCGTTGAAACAGCTCTACCCTGTCTTCCAGGGTCCCTGTGGGTCAGGATTAGCTTGATGGCAAGGAATCCGGTTTGACTTGCTTTCGGGGTGGGTGGCTCTTGAGTTGGCATGGACTTGGCGGCAGTGAGTCTGATTGGACTGTCCTGGGCAGACTTCCCTGTAGCAGTAATGACAGAGAGAAAACCACTAGGAGGGAGGGGCTGTGTGTGTTTATCAGAATCTGTTTCAGGCTGAAATGGGCTCAGTTGTCAGATGGGGGTCTCACCATCCAATGCTTCCTCCAGCGTTCTGGAGTTTTTACCACACTGTACTCAGGTGGTTCTCTCCCGTGGAGCTCCCCTCTAGGTTGGGGGTTTCGTGGGATGGGCAAACAATTGCGAAGCTACTTTGTGATAAGTTTTTCCTTCTTTCCTGTGGTATTTCTGTTTGGGAAGGAGGTCTGGTGGCACAGGGTTTAATCACCCAGCTGCCCCCTGAGAGGTCAGCAGCCCACCGGCTGCTCACGGGAACAGAGCTTCGGCAGTCTGCTCCTGAGAAGATGACCGCTTCAGAGAGCAGGTGGGGCAGTTCGACTCAGTCCTGCCGTGGGTGTACAGCAGGAATCGGTTGAATGATGAATGGGGCCTTGGGCACTTTCATTCAAATTTCTGATTCTAGAAAGACTCTATCTGACATAACCTGAATGGCCCTGAAATAAGACGTTTCAGTTTGAGAGTCAAACTTTAGCTATGAAAACTAACGTCTTTTTCTAAATGCATCACCCCAAAACCAAACGATGGGGCCTTGCCCACTGCTTGAGTCCCCGCTGTGCAGCCCGGGAGTCGGAGCCTCCTGCAGGAGAAGGCCCCGCGGGAAGCCCCAACGTCCGTTTGATTGTGTCCTGGTGCCCCTGTAGCACGTGTGTCTCAGTGAGGGGATAGATACCAGTTTCCAAGAGGACACTAGTCACAATAAGAACCATGACATTGGAATAAGTTCAAGTGAAATATCCACACCATACCAAAGATTAGGACAGATAAGTTCTGACTTAGAATGACAGTACTAGAGAAATAAGGAAGACACCATTTTTGTCCTCAAGATTGTCTTTTCCATTTCCTGACAGCCCCCTCCATCCCCACCCTGCCATCTTGTCATATGACTGTCCAATGTTATGTGTGTGGTGACTGCTAACTTGGCCGTCACAGTTCAAACTAGATCCTGCAAAACAATGGTGTATTTTTACCGTGATTTATAAGAGCCAACCTATGGGTATAAGTGTAATACCTGTAGAGGCAACAGATTCTCCCTGTGTTAACAAATTATTTGTAATGTATATTTTTAGAAATCTTAAAACTGCCTTTGCACTGAAGTATTTTCATAGCTATTTATATCTTTTATGCATTTTTGTTAGCATACCATATCTAATTTTTAAAGTATGTTTTAAAAGCTTTTCTTTTTTAAGTTAATGAAATGTTGGCCACTTTACACTTAAATTCTGTTGAGACTTTCAGCTGAATGTTTCAATCTCGGATGTGAACGTGCAGTTTCCAGATCGGATTTCGTGCTCTATACCTCTTTATGTTGTGGGTTTCTGACGGCAATGACGACTGGGAGGCATATTTGGAGCACAGTGATTTGCGAAGCGTTTTCTGCACAGGTCATTGCCATTTCATCTGCTTTCCCCAGTTGGCTATTAATGGCCGTCCTTCAGCCTTAAACTAGAAACTGCTTAGGGCTTCATGGTTAAATCAGCCAGTCCCAGTTCTGCCCAGACCAGCAGTTCTTAACCTTCCTGATGCCGCGACTCTTTAATACAGTTCCTCATGTTGTGGTGACCCCCCCAACCATAAAACTTTTCATTGCTACTTAATAAGTATAATTTTGCTACTGCTTTGAATCGGGCAACCCCTGTGAAAGGGTCGTTTGACCCCCAATGGAGTCGCGACCCACAGGTTGAGAACCGCTGCTCTAGACAATGACCACACACATCCGATTATTTCTCTCTTACTACCAAAGCCACGAAACGCTACACTCTCCAAACCATCATTTTGGAAATCATATGGACTTGCCTAATAACCTTATAAGGGGCCCAAGATAAAAATATAAGGAATGGCATTTTCAGATATGATTTAAGGCCATTTTTCATCTTAGTATTTAAACTAACATTAAACACATGATGTCAACTTTAACCACTTTCCTTATTTGAGAAAATCTTATCCACTACTGCACATGTTTTAATAAATTATCATTGTCATTTTCCATGTTGCTCGAAATATATGGTTCCCACCACCCCATTCTGAAGCCCTGGTGGTTTCGTGGCTTACTTGGTCTGCTCACCACCAGGTCAGTGGTTTGAAACCACCAGGTGTTCCCTGGGAGAGAGACGAGGCTTGCTTCTTCGTCCCTGTGAAGACTGACACTCTTAAAAACCCACAGGGGCGGTTCTACTCAGCCCCCTAGGCCTGCTGCAAGTCGGAATCCACTAGATGGCAGTGAGTTTGATTTTTGCATTTTAATACCCATCCCATCTTCCTAAAAGCAGATCATTTTATAAATGCATGGCTGTCCTGATGACGTTTGCACTGTCTTGCCTTCTGCTCCCACTTCACTCGCTCACATAAGCATACACATGTGGAAGCATGTTTGCACACACTCAAACACACACTTGTACATACCCTGAAATCCTAAGCATCCCTGCCTTCTACCTAAAGTGACCCTCATAGGTCACGTCCATGTCTGGGGCAATAGGCCCTCCTTAAACCTTCTCTGTCTCAGTGGTCAAAACAAAACAAAAACAAAAACCGCTCACCCTTGGCCAAGGCATCAGAAGCCCACCTCCCACAGACAACAGGGTTGCACCCACAGCTTCCTTCCTGTAGATGACTCCTCGAAGGCTACAGCAGTGCCCAGGGCCAAGTTCTCTCCCTTTCAAGGACGTTCTGCCTCCCCAGGTGAGACCTCCACTGAAATCCAGCACTCAGGGTGAGGTTACCAGGAACCCACTCTCCTCGACATGAGACCTGCAGGCATGTAGGAGCGGGGCCATCGCAGGAGGGCTAGCCCGGTACCAACCAACCAGGCTGCTCTTCCTTGGCAACTAGGAGAACAATCCACATCAGCCCTCCCTGTGCATATGACTAAGAGAGTAGACCAGGCAGACCGAGCACAGGACTCCGGAGGTCCGTGGCCCCATAAGACACTGACGGAGTGGCAGGGTGTACCGGGGCTAAGAAGTAAGCCGTGGGGTTCAGAGATTGAGATGACGGAAAACAAAAGAAACCCGGCAGGTTTATGTGATAGCAGATTTTATGTAGCCTCTTCCTTTGACTTCATTTTTTGCAGCTTTAACTACAAAATATCTCATACATGCTGTTGGAAATATTTTAAATGGTTAGGCATCAACCAAACATTCAGTGCAATAAAAAGGACATTTTTAACCCGTTCTTTTTTTTTTAACCACTGAAGTTCACGTGTTTTGCACGGACTAGTAATGAACCAATGGCACTGCTTCTGTTTCAAATGAATATTATTCTGACAGCGAAATGTAACAACTCGGTATGCAGCGTCTGGAACCCCACATTTCTGATGGAGGCTACCCATTTGTAACTTTGGAAAAATATATATATACCAGTTGACAAACTCATCTCTCTCTCCCTTTTTTTTTCAGTTAGTGGGTGGGCAAATAGGAATGAGAATCATTCTGAATTGTGTTGATAAACAAAGCTTTAATGAAAATGTGTCGCAAGTATTATGAAAGTGTGATTCTACTTTTGCAGAAAAAAATATAAAGATAAGTTTATATAGCTTTATTTTTTACCTTATTGAAATATACAGAATTTTAATATGTGTACATTATCTCTGACTTAAAATGATAATGTGTATATGCATTGCCATTTAAAATGTCCATTCATTATACAATGTAATAAGAGAGGATCTTTAAAAATGTATTTAACATAAATGGTATCTATAGTTATCATCATAATAAATACTGGAATTTATTTTTAAATGACTAATATAGTAGGTGCATTTAACATAATAAATCAGCCTCCAAACAGTAATGTTTGATTGGTAATAATTCATTAACCTGCTTTGAAAAAAGATTAACTTGTGAATTAATCCAATTCTTACATTTCTGTACATTTTATTTTGTATGCTACTGTTTTTAGTTTTTATTTCTGTAGATAAAATATGACTTGATAATATTAATTATACTGGACTTTTCTGTATATTATCTAAGCAGGAGACATGAATCTGCTTGCAATAAAAAAATATCTGGTTTAGTTTCTTTATATACAAATAAAATCCTCAAAGTTGAACTTAAATTGTCTGTTAACAAACACTATACAGTAAAGACACTTTGAAAGTGTTTCTGTTTGGAATAAAGATAGGAAATATATTGTAAAAAATCTAGAATCTTCTCAACTTTGCAGAAAGTTTGTGTGATTGGGTGCAGTCTATATTCTTCTGGTAACTTCGGCATGCTGGGCTAGAGCCCCCCGGTGTGTACTCACTCACACTCAACCACTCACCACTCATGTGCACTGAGCTTCCCCTGCGTTCACCAGGGCCCCGAGAGTTGAAGACTCTGGGGTTGGCAGACTTGTGCAGAACTGTGGGGAATAACGAGGCATAGGAAATGTAAATGGTGAACTTCTTAGCGTTCTAGCCCAACCCCACCACAAAATTCCTCACTGGTTGCCTCTTGCCCA